TATTGAATCATTTAAAAGAACGTCAAAGTATGTTGGAGATATGACACCAGTCATTAACAATTATGTGTTAGAAGCAAACAAAAGAAATGGATACAAAATCAAATATAATAATGAAGATAAAAAAACGACTAGAAATTACAAAAATCTGATATTAGCTTCATCTTATGGAAATCAGAAAGAACGTTCAATTGATCTAGATAGGGATTCAAACAAAGACGCAGATTTCAATGATTTCGATGACAGTAAGGATGACACAGCAGGATCAGATACATACTTTCTAGTCAATAGTAAGGTAATTAAAAAAGTACTCGAAAAAGAAGAAGAAAAAAGTGACTTTGAATTAAAAAAACCACCGGTAAAAGATAATGAGGATATATCGACAAATGAAATTGAAGCTGTTAAAGAAAAATTACAAAATATGATTGTCAAAGCACAAGCCGATGTAGACTACGACAAGATGGAAGCTTTGAAATTTTATGCTTATATTTTAAACGAAGAAAATGGCCAACGTATGCCGAGTAAAAACTCAGGTATTTAAACAAAAAAGTATTTGTTTTCTAAACGACTTTAAAAAAAAGGTCAGTTCGGTTTGACCTGTATGTATGTACGATTACCTCAAGATTGTCAGAGCCGTTATAAATGCGGTTTTCAAAAGAGTGTTTGTTATCCTATTATTTTTTTTGAGAGGGGTGAATTATCAAATGACTCGCCCCTGCCTTGGGTTATAAAAGGATTATTGATATTTCGACAGAGTAGGACACACATTTATCACCATGCTTTTTTCGGGACAAAATCATCGAATGATTCTCCCGCCTTGTGCGAGGCGAGAATGAGCGGCGGACTAAATACAGTCCCGTCCGGGTCTCTAATAAACCTGAACCTTTGAGGTTACGACTTCTGCCAAGTAAGTCCAGGTTAAGTGAAACCCTCTAATTGAGAGGAGGTTGATAATTCGCCCTCCTATATTCCCTCTTCATTACCCTGAATTGGAATATCATTGCTGTTGGATATGACATAGATAATATTGGACAATATTACTAACCATAATATTTTCTTTATGTTTTTGCAGACTCAGACTCAGATGTATCCCTACCAAGTGACACCTATAGTTAAATGGATAATTGGAGAAGACGGTGACAATTCCTGCTAGAAGCTCTGTGTCCTACTAACATTATAAATGCGAAAGTTTGTGAGCATGAATGGATGTGTGCTGCGAATGGAAATGTATCGCATATATCATCTCCACAGAAGCCGTTGAGAGAAGTTAATTTCAAGTTGTGTATAACACTAAGTAGTATGAATACATTTTAAGGGAATAAAACCAATAATAAGAATACACACATTTTATTATAATATGCTTACTTAATGGTAATTAAAGTTAGTCTGATATAGTACAACATTATTTAATGGAATAAGCTGGTAAACGAGTAGATGGATCACCTGATGGTTGTTACATGTATGTTTAGTCTGTATTGTCATCACTAATTAGTAAGTAGTGTAATGTGTTATATAAGGCAGGACACTCAATATTAACGTTGCTGTCACTCGTCGTGCGCCCTGCACATTATTGTAATAAATCCAAGTAAAATAAATCCGACTATAATTTGACAATCCACCAACATAACTATGGTAAGCATCAGTGCCGCCCATGGAGATACGAAACACCGTACTGTAAGTACTGAAAGTGCTTTACCGGCCTTTTGGCGATTAGGAATTTGAGGATTGTGGGGGATTCGGGACAAATTGTTGCCTGTGATGAGAACAGCTGAAGACAGTGATGATGGCAGTTTAATGGAGAATATATTGTCAAACGCCAGCCACAATTCTAAACAATGTAACTATTTTTGTAATGCTGATATCGAAGAACCTAATCCGAGGCTTCTGGAACGAACGCATTTTCTCAGAAACAGATATTTTTATGGAATAGTCTAGCAAACGTACAGACAGATCACCTGATGGTTAGCAATCGACATCACCCATAGACGGCCTTCGGTCCGATTTTTCAGTGTCGGACTAAGGAGATGCGTTGCATTGCCAGCCTTTTGAGGGTTAGGGACTCAAGGAATGTGGAGGTTGAGTAGGGTAGGAATCTAGCCTTGGGCTCCGGTAATGTCACTCACTTGGATAATAACACAACGCAATCGATATTTGCGCTAGTTTTCTGGTCACCTGATCCATTGTTATCGTTAGTTTTATTGATTGAATAGCGAATTGTCTTAAGCCGTTCAGTCTTTCTTGTAGCTGCTATCTGCTTAATTACATTCCTCATTTGATTATATAAATTTAATACGTTTTATTTCTCTGATTGTTAATCGAATTGCTGTCATGAACACTTTCAATCCTGTGCTCTTGGTCTCTGTGCCTCAAATGCGTTCGAAATCGTACTGACCATGGAGGAAAGGGAATCTAGTATTCGCTTGATTCTTAGCTTTATTTAGTTTGGTTGTGAGCTTCTTGGTGGGTCTACTGATTAGGTTTACGATATAACTACGTGTAGACCTGTGCCTTAACATGTGTCGATGTGTCGGAGTAACAATTTTGTACCGTCTCTGTATACTTGTGATCGGCTTCATATTTCTTAACAAAGGATAATTGTACTGAGTTTCAGGTGTATAACTTAATCTACGTCTAAAAATGTTTTCATTGCTGTAATCTGGTCGGAATTTTGTGTGTTTTCGTTTGTTTGTCTGATGTTTTGATTTCGACTTCAACTTTTGTAGTTTGTGTCTAAACTTTTGTTTTTTCCTTGAGAATGGGACTGTAGTGTCGCTGTCTGATGCCACTGGCGGCCTTAGTTCTTTTGCTGTGGAAAAGAAGACGAGTCAATTTTTTTGCACAACAACACCTACGATTGTCCTGATAGTAAGCGGACACCATAGTCTAAGTACAACCCACAACACTAGAGGTAGCACGAGTGCGTTGCCGACAATGGAGCGAATTGCATGGGGATCCGCACCATTCGACACATGATCAAGGTCGTCTAAAAACTAGAACGTTTTTAGAATACTGGAGGAGATTGCGCCACTATTCGGATAGAATTATCGACCTATAGTTTAGAATTTTAAAAATCTGAAGAGTCAATATTTCTTTGACCCACATAAAGGTACTAAACCACAACCAATAAGTTAACAACTAATTATGACTGTTATATATATAATATACGTACCTTCTTTTATACCTAAAAATCCCAAAGCACTCTGCTCCGACAAGTCTGCTTCAGATATTATAGCTCTTAGCTCAAAGTTAATAGAGTCTAACAATCGTTGGCGCAACTTTGTGTTACTGAGCCGTCGATATGGCTTTAGGAAGCTCTCTATTAATGCTAAACATACTGTGTAGCCTGGTTGTAAAACTGAAATATAAAAAACAAATACAAATTTAGAATAACAGTTACTCATTATAAGAAGTTCGAGAACCAACTAATAGATGGCGCTATTTACAAATGTACATCGCACAAATACATACTGTTAGGAAAATCATCAAAATCTTTGAGCACATTGAAGAGCTTCGTGCCTTCTTCATCATCATACAACATATCAGCATAGTCTATGATGGTGTTGACTTCAGAAGATAACTCATGGTGACGTGCACTTATCTTTTTATTCAATTTCGAAGCGTATTCTGTAATAACATCATTAGAATTAGCGTAGTTTACATGTGAACATTAGCTCATGACCGATATCTAAGTATGTGTGTCCTTGACAAGTCAACCTCGCTCCCATCAGGTGACTGGACAATACACTACATGAGCTGATTAGATGTGAATTACTTACTTTGTATCACTCCCGTTTCGGATTCAGTCATGAATTTTGCCAGTTTCATTGTGATGTCTAAGAGAGGCTGACCGAACCACCTAATTTTTCCATTTTCCTGAAGTCTGAAACACAAACGAATAAGGTTCAAAATATCAACTTTGTACTTGCATGTCAGATGATATTATGTGACACTCACTGCAGCACAATCTGTTCAGTATGAACGAGGACTTCAAATAGATCATCCTTGTCTTTTGAAGCCACGATTCTCATCAGCTCCATGAGGAATACCACCATGTACCCTTCATCCATATCGTCAATCATTTGGAAGTATGGTAACATCATCGTTGTAGTTTGTGGCATACCTGGATAACAGTTAAACGTATTTTTTTTTAACATTGACGATAGATTAAAGGAGGATGCGAGAAACCTACCAACGGCAAGTACCAAGGTGACTTTTTGCGAGTTATATTGTGTACTTTCTAAGATAACTTAGACACCACTGACAAACGGTGAAACATTGGAATAATTATAGGTTTGAAATGCATTAAGCAAGCGTGTTGATTGATGCTCAAACCTTCTCCGTATGAGAAGAGGCGTTTGGTCAGCAGTGCACACTTATAGGCTGATGAAGATGATGATGAGCTGCTAGGTTGAATGACGAGTCTAAATATGACATCAAAAGTAGAAAACATATTTAGATACTACTAACGTTTTATATTCACTTGTACTGGTGTAGTTAAAGAGCTTGTTTCCTCTTCTTCATCGTTTTCATCCTCTTTGTGTGTTGTCGTTTCTACTTCTCGTACATTGGTTGATTCTTTTAAAAGTTTGTTAGCGTGTAGTCTTTTATGCTTTGCCGTATATACTTCTCTTACTATGATTGGCTTTTTTATAATTTTCCTTAAATGCATCTTTTTAATTTTATGCGTTGAAATTTCGTCCTTACTAAACGTTGACTTTGTGAATTTCTTCACCTTCCTATGGGCTCTTGTTTCTTTTAAGTAATAATTGAATATTTTGTACAATATAGATTTCGTTGCATCTACTTCTATGGGCTTCATTGGAACTCTAGAAACCTCTGTAGTCCGTTCCATTTGAATGCTTTGTGTTACCGTCCGTAGTATTTCATCAAGTTTATCTTTATGTACGTCATCAATGTCATCCATTATAAACGTTTCATCAGTCTTGTTACTGAATTTAATTGTTGTACCCTCATCTGCTACATTAGCCATTCTTGGCGTAGTAACTTCACGTACCTTAGCAGTTACGTGTGCTCCTGTATGTTCTTCTAATGGACTATGTTCTATTATATATCTATCCTCTTCATGTTTAAGGTCTTTCATTGTATTGTCATGTTTATCAGACATTACTACTCTGTCAGGTTCAATAATTACATCTATGCCTTTTAAGTTCATACTCTCTTTTAGTTCTCGGATCAATTCGTTATCGTTATCAGGTTTGAAATCTGATTCTTTGACCAAAGTCTCTTGGTTTGTCATTATTATGTCGTCGGGTTTATTATTGTCTCCTCCCCTGGGTATATTAGGAACGTTTTCTATATCTTCCACAGCCTGTTCTTTCTTCTCATTCGTGTTTAACGTAGCAGGATCTGCGTGATAGTCGTCGAGTAGTTTGTCTTGAACTGATGAGATGACTGGATCTAAAGTAGTTTGGTCTTGTCTTTCAATTTGTTTCGTTCTGTCTTCCACAGTTTGTTGGTCTTTCGTCAGAGTTTTATCAAATGGTGTCAATGTTTCTGTTATGGAGTAGAGACATTGATCAGTCATTTGATTATTGCTTGTAGTTATAAAAAGAAAATATAATTAAGTTTATAGAATTAGCCTATTATTAGTAGTCATTCAGTTAAAAATCGAAGGTAGTGGGATATTAGTAACTTCGTCGAAATTGTCTATAATAGTATACCTGCAGCAAATTAAGCAATTTGGCCCCTTCGGGGAATGCATGTGACCTGACATTGTCTAGGAAAAGGACACATTTTTACTATCCAGGCTTTGAACTGGAATCAATTACATTTTTAGTTTCGCTCTAAGATTTTCTTCTGAGTCGTGTTTGTAAGTTACATACACATGATACCCAAACCAGAAATAAAAATTTGCGGATCACACAAAGACAAGCTACGTATTTAACGGTTGGATGAGGAACTCTACTAGTTTCGAGGCTCATATTGATGAACAGCATTCCACAGCATTCGAGGCGACGACTGTCGCGCTGCTACTGGCTACTCAGTTCTGCGGTGCGCGCACAACTAGTCGAGTTCTTCGTCAAACAGTGGCGGGAGTAAGCCAAATATATAATAATTATGTCTCACGGAAGTTATGATGATGATGACAAACTGACGACTCACCAGTGAAATCAAGGTTGTTAGTTACAGTTGGTGGAATATAATTAGTAAGAGTCTGATATTTAGCCATCTCTTCCATCATATTATTGACATCTGATGGGTGTGTCTGGTACAGTTTATAAACTACTGCTTCAGGAATGATACCCTCAGTTCCTAATGGATTATAACCTAGATCAGTTGAAGATCTTGGAATTTGAGCAGGAGAATTGAAA